ATGCCTTAAGGGGATTCTCAATAATAAAGGAAGCTAAAGCCAAATGTAGTCACACATGTACACTGTATTTCAAAAAAGCCAACTTTAGCAAATTCAGGGTGATTATAAGCAAAGCCCCATGGCAAGCCACTCTAAATGGAAAAGGAGTCCAAGAAGGATGGGATATCTTCACAAGAGAAATGCTTAAGGCACAACTACAGACAGTTTCAACATGGAAAAAGAGTAGTAGGCAACAGAGGAAGCCCATGTGGCTTCACAAAAGGCTTACAGATGATCTGAAAACAAAAGGAAGGTACAAAGGATGAATGCAAGCAAGCAAGTAGCAAGGAACTGCAGGGATGATATCAGGAAGGCTAAAGTGATAAATGAACTGAGGCTAGTGAGGGGAGCTAAGAACAACAAAAGAGCTTTCTTCAAATATGTTGAAAGCAAAAGACAGATGAAAAAGAAGGGAGCTCAACTACACACCATGGATGGAACAATGTTAACAGATGACAGAGAAAGGGGAACTCCTATTTTGGCTCTGTCTTCTCCCAAAAATAGAAATACAACCCTCCTGATGAAGGTGTAGTACAAGCTTGAAGGGGCCCGATGGCAGCCCAAGAGTGAAAGGCAAATGGTTGAGGATCTTCTCATTGGGCTAAATGAGATCAAATCTCTAGGGCCTGATAAACGTCATCCCAGAGTCATAAAAGAGCTAACCAGAAGAGGTTTCAGAATGATTATCATCTTTGAGAATTCATGGAAAGCAGAAGTACCAGATGACTTGAGAAGGGCTAATGTTGTTCCTATCTACAAGATTAACCTGGAAGCTACAGTCCAGTTAGTCTGACATCAGTACCTGAAAAAATTCTAGAGCAAAGTATAAAACAAACAGTCTGCAAACACCTTGAAGACAATGCAATAAATGCTAGAAGCCAACATGGATTTCTTAAGAACAAACCCTGCCAGACAAATTTATATTTTTGACTGGGTGACCTCCCTGATGGACAGTGGGAATTCTGTGGACATAATCTGTCTGGTCTTTAGCAAAGCCTTTGATAAAGTGTCCCATGACATCCTGATTACCAAACTAATGAAAAGTGGACCAGATATGCAATCATTAGGTGAATCCACAATTGGCTGCAAAATTAAGAGTACTCATCAATGGCATGTTTTCAAACTGGAGAGAGGTGACAAGTGGGGACTGGAGGGTTTTTTCCAGGGACCTGTCCTCTTCAACTTTTTTTTAATGATTTGGATGGGAAAGTGCAAGGAAGGATAATTAAATTTGCAGATGACACAAAGGTGGGTGGAATAGCAAATAGCTTGGAAGACAGAGATAAGATACTGGGTGATCTGCATAGTTTAGAATGCTGGGCAGAGAACAACAGAATGAGATTCCAGAGGGACAAATACTAAGTCCTTTGTATCACTACAGAATGGGGAATACTTGGCCCAACAATACTGCAAATGAGAAGGATCTTTGGGTTGTTCTAGGTCACAGGCTAAATGAGCCGACGATGTGATGCAACTGCAAAAAGGACAAATGCTATTCTGAGATGCATGAACAGAAGCATCACTTCCAAAACATGTGACATACTAGATCCCCCATACCCAGCATTAGTCAGACCTCACCTGGAGTACTGTGTCCAGTTCTGAGCACCTAAGTTTTAAAACAAGATGTGGACATCTTGAAAGGGTGCAGAGGAGAGCAACAAGGATGATTCAGGGACTGAAAAGCCCCATGAGGAAAGATTAAGAGAAATGGGCATGTTCAGCCTCAGGCAGAGAAGACTGAGGGGTGATATGATAGCACTCTACAAGTACCTGAAAGGCTGTCATGATAGGAAGGACAATATCTCTTCTCTTCCATTCTGGCATGCAGGACACAAAATAACAGACTTAAGTGAAAACAAACCAGATTTAAATGAGAAACCAGGAAGAATTTCCTCACTGTCAGAGCAGTACGAAAATATGTGATAATCATCCTGCTACCTTTGGGCACCAAGAAACTTCTGGGCATCTTTTAGCAAAAACCTGAGATTGATGGATTGCCTTCTCTATTTCCTTTTTGCCCAGGTTTCTTTTTTCAGTGCACTGTTACTCCCTGGCTTCCAGTCTTCTTTCCATTCAGTCCTCAGCTTGTCCCCTGCACCCCACAAAGGCTCCCATCCTTAGGTTCTGTGTGAGGTTATAATTCTAAACAAATGTGATTATTTTCTTTTCTCTCACCCTCTCATCAAGTGGACTATTGCTTTGCAGAAAGCATCCTTGAACTTCATCAAGTTCTCAGACAATCTGTATCAGAAACTTGGCTATCAGAAGCGCAATATAATAACATCACTGGCATCATATAAATGCTTTTAAAATGGATTAGATTAAGTTTCCCAGTTTGATGTAGAGAAAGGAAGATGAATTCCATTTTGCCTTAGGATAAATGCAACTTCAGATAAGTGAGTACTAAGATGAAAACCCAATTAGTTGGATCCAGTCTATCATGCTTTAGTCCATTGATTCATGGACTAAAGCATGACTAATTTGGTCTTTGAGATGTCATTCTTGCTATATGCCATCTCTGAGTTATGGCAACCCTATGAATGAAAGCCAAATGCAATATCCTATCCATGTCAGTCCTGTTCAGTTCTTGTAAATTCAGCATTGTGCCTTCCTTTTTGGAGTTAATCCACATACCTACATTAATCCAGAATGGTATTCAGTTAGGTGTCATAGCCATTTTATTGAGTTTTGCCTTTCTTTTTTGGAAGTTTTAAAATGATTTTACAAGTCTTCATTTTTGATTTGATATTTTAAATACAACTATATTTCTGACTTTACTACAAGCTAAAGCATTCCAAATTCAAAGTTATTGAAATTTTTTAATGTGACTCTCTCAGCACGGCAAGTTTGGGTCTTCTTCCAGCACTCCTTCCCTGTATAAATAGGTACCTGAAGCAGATAATATAACAGTGGAAGGGAGCATTCAGGGACAAATCCCTGTTTGTGCTTGGGGTGTCTAGAGCCCAAACATATAACAACTGTGACCTTGGTTGTGCAGCTCTGACTTGACTGTTCTACATATTGGTGTGGAAATTGGAATATCTGAGGAATGGAGGATTCTTTGTTCCTCTTGAACCTCTTGCATCTGTCACCAAGAGCAAACCATGTAAAAGGTAGCAGCAACAGCAGTGACCTGGGTAAGGAGTCCCCACCCTGTGAGAGACTAGAATTTGCCCTGACAGCCCTTTTTTCAGGTCAGGGTTGTTGACCTCTAGGGCATTTTGTCTCCCACAGATTCAGTAGCAGTGGGGCAATTGGAGCATCTGAGTATTGATTCATGGCAGATTTTGATATACCATAAGCCCACAGGCTTAATCATCTATGGTTATTTCCCAAGTCTTCTAATTTTAACAGCAAGGCTAGTGTGGTTTTAGATAACAGTAACATTTTCTGTTTTTGTGATGCTCAAATCCACAGCTTTATTTAATATTTCTGCCATTTCCATCAGCTTATAAGACACATCAGAGATCTTATACTGTAGTGGCTTAGTAGTGGATGGTCATTCAGTAGTGAAATTATATCTGTGTTGTTTCAGTTGATTAGCTGTCTCCATCATGGGCTCCCAACTCAGTCAACCCTTCCTTCACAGGTCTAACTGCATTGTGGGGCCATCATCATTTTCCAGGGAGGCAGAACTAGCTTGACTGTCCTGCGCCCCAAAGTAAGATTTTAGGTTCCTTTTTTTCAATGGGCGGGATCCCTTGTGTATGCTTTTACAGTTCTTTCTCCATTTGCAACTGCTCTGTTCTCTAAATTTTTCTGAACAGGATAAAGAAATCTAGATCTAGTGTGCCATCTTGACTTAATGACATTGCCACCCGTGTGTGGTTACAGTTGAACTTTTAAGTGGAAATAACGACTTTGAATTTATGTTTACTAAGTCTCCATTCATAGCCCAAAACATGCTGACGTCAAGAAGATCCCTGCCCTACACCTTGTCCAATACCCTGTTCCCAAAAGTGGCCAGCGAAGTCTTCCAGTAAATGCACAAGTAACCTATGAATGCAACAGCTCTCCCTAATAGTTTGCCTCCAGAACTCTTCCTGTTTGCATTTACATATAATAACATGAGGGAAGTTTTCCAGTGTATTTCACAATTTCAGCTGCTAATCCTCCATTCTAGTCAGATTTATATGAATTAAACCTGTACTTTTAGTTTTCTTGGTAATTTTGTAAGGTTCAAATCATGGAGACTTCAGCCTTGTGGGTTATGCCTTCAGTGATCACAAGCTTTTGAATTAAAAGGCTTATGAGCATTCTTGGTGGGTTGGGAGAAACACTGAATCTTTGCCTCCCTGTCTTCCCACCCTACATTTTTCCTGGACAATCAAGCTCCATATCTTGACCTCTTCAGTCTCCCTCCCACATTGCTCTTTTCTGAGGTTGTGTTCCTGACATCAGAGAAGGAACAAGCATTTTTTTTCTGTGCCAGTTGTGTGGGGGAGGTGGGTTGGAGATTCAGTTCCCAGCTCTGAGGTCAGATCAGTATCTCCAGACTTAAAGCTGGGAATCAGAAATTTCCTGTGGACACCTATCTAGGGACTATAGGATTGCTCCTTCCAGCAGACAGTCACATTCTTAAGATTCAATGACATCATTGAAATTTAGACATAGTGAACTTTATCCGGGCTGTCATTATTAGGTGTGACCTGCAGGACTGATTTTCCACATGCAATGGAACTATAGCTTCCAATAGCATGATTTTCTGATTTTCTCACAAATCTGCAGCACAATCTACTTTTTCACACTGCCATCCTTAGTGGAATTGGCAAGATTCCTTTTGCTCAGTGTGGCTAGTTCCCTTTGATTACATAGAACACATCCAGTTCTCCCTGTCCCCTTGTTTTGTTCTGCATTTTGTGCTAGAAGTGCAACAAGATAATCTCATTGATCTCTAAATAAATCAGTATACCTTCAAAGACAAGTCATAGTAATGTGCTTTCTGTTGTTTTTTGTTGCAGAACAGTAGTAATGCCTATAGCTAATGAGTTTGCCCCAGATGTTGTGCTGGTGTCCTCTGGTTTTGATGCAGTAGAAGGTCATCCCGCACCACTTGGAGGATATAACCTATCAGCAAAATGTAAGTCCTTGTAGGCTTTTACATTTCCATTATTTCACTTTTGTTTTCATATTGACTTGCATTTTAGTTCTGTTTCGGTTCTGTTAAATAAATATTGTGCTTGGACTCCTCACTGTGTACTTTTTAGGGCAGTTTAAGAAAAAAAAGATTGTGCGATAATAGCATCACAAAATAATACATCACTCTTTCCTGTTGTATACAGAATTCGGGTTCCTGTCTACATTTATTTAAATATTGCTGTTCTTTTTCATGGTCGCTGTGCATCACACATATGGGCTTTGCCGCACAGCACAAGCCCTGGATCAGAGAAAACTTCCAAAGCTCAGCGTCACGGAGTGGGCAGGAGGCCTGCCCTGCCCCTTCCAGAAGTCCAGATAAAGTGGGGGGGGGGGGGCCTCCAGCCCAGTCTCTGAGTTCCTTTTCAACTGCACACACAAGTCACATCTCTGAAAGGAACTTCCACTGCCCCATTCTTTTCCTTTTTGCCCTCTACATCTTTCTCCCTATATTTAAAAAAGTTTGTGTGTGTGTAAAAATCCTTTATCTTAGTTCTTCTTCACAGTCTCAGTGCAATCACACCAACGGGCTTGATGTGGAGCGAAAGGCCTCAATCAGAGAAAAACTTCCAAAGCTTGGCACCATGGAGTGGTGTGCACAGGCAGCATGGCGGGGGGGGGGGGGGGGGCTCCCGCCCAGTCCCTCAGTTCCTTTTTGACCGTACTTGGAGCTCACTTCGGATTGGACCTTCTGCTTTGCTCTACTTACCTGGTTCGCCATTTTGCCTTCTCTCCTTTCTTCTTCACTCCTCTCTCCTTTCCTTAAAAACGTCTTTTCTTCTTTTGCGCCTTACCATTCTTACAGAGAGAAGCCTGCCGCCTCTCTCTGGATCAGGACCTCTCTTTCTCTCACGCCAAGGGGGGTGGCTTCTTGGACCTGGTGTGCCGCATGGCTGAGGATCTCGGCTTCCAAGCCTCCCACCCACCCAAATCCAAGGCTGACCCATGCTATGACACCCTGGCCTCAGGGGACACCGCCACTGTGTCCATACTGGCCATGCCTGCGCTGCTCCGCACAGCACAACAGTCCTGAAAAGCCCTTGCCGGCCCACTGGCTACCTCTCACAGAGCTGACTCTGCCTACAAGGTCACCATCAAGGCCTTCCCCCACTCCTCCAACATCCCAGGCCCAAATCCATTATATTGGAGTCTATGCAGGGGACCCCCCACCCAGAGGAACCAGTCCATCCTGGTGGACAAGGAGGGACGCCGCCTGGATACCATGGCTAAAAAGATCTATGCAGCAGCTGCCCTTGGGTTCAGGGTCTCTAACTATGAGGCCACCATGGCCAGGTACTTGCTCTTCCTGTGGGTGAAGATAGGTGCCATAGTGGAACAGCTCAACAACCACTTATGGGATGAAGTCTGCCTCATTCATACCGAGGCAGAGGACCTTTCCAGGTTTTAGTTGGAAGCAGCTCAACACCACGTCGACCGCACCAGTAAAGCTGTGATGGGGGCAGTAGCCACTCGCTGCCATGCTTGGCTGCGCTCCACATCCCTGCCCCCCGAGACCCGGGCCCTCATTGAGGACCTGCCCTTTAATGATGAAGGCCTCTTCAATGCACATAAAGACAAGAATATGGACTCCCTCCATAAAGCTTGCACCACCGCCAAGCGCATGGGCTTTGGCCAGAGCTCAGTGCAAAGGAGATGGCAGGGAACCCTTATGGCCCCCAGCCACCCCCCATTCCTTGACCATTCCATGAGCCCCAGAGTGCCACCTACCAGCAAGAGGTAGGACTACCATCCCTGCCGGAGGCTTCTGCAGAAGTGCCAGGACACCAGGCACAGACACTGATGCTCTTGTCCAGGCAGCCCCACCCCTGCACCCCGCTACGGCTTCACAGATCACCTAGCACAGTACCTCCCAGCTTGGGAGGCTATTTCCTCTGACTCCTGGGTCCTATCCATCATCCAACTGGGGTACAGGATTGAATTCAATACCCTACTGCCTCTCGGTCGTGTCAAGACCACACCCCCATCTACCGCACTTTGGGCAGAGGTCCAGGCCCTGCTGGATAAAGGGGCGATAGAGCGTGTCCCCCCATTAGCCCACAGGAGCTTCTATTCCAGGTACTTCACAGTACCCAAATGGGATGGGTCTCCAAGGCCCATCTTGGACTTAAGGGAGGTGAAAAAGTTAATTACCCCTAAGAAGTTCAGAATGGTCACACTCCAGGGCATCCTCTCTCTCCTTAACCAAGGAGACTGGTTCGCCTCCATCAACTTGAAGGACGTCCATTTGCATATCTCCTTCCACCTTGGACACAGGCATTTCCTGTGTTTTCAGATTCAATTCTGTGTTCTCCCTTTTGGTCTTGCCATGGCTCTCCGTGTATTCACCAAATGCAGGGCAGTCATCTGCATCCACCTCTGGATGGTGTGGGTGGTGGAGAGAGGTGCAACCCTGACAGCTGTAGCCACTGAGGCGAGGGTTTCTGCCCATGGCTGTGGCAGGAAGACTTTGGCAAGGGTAGCATCCAGGCAAGCCCTTATGAAGAGTATGGATCGTGTGGGGGAAGGAACAGATTTGTCATGGTTGATGAGGAGTCCTAGTTCCTGTTGGAGGCAGCGTGCAGTAGCTAGGCCACACAGTAGATCCTTCCTAAAGGGGGCCATGAGAAGCCAATCATCCAGGTAAAGGAAGATCTGGACCCCCTGTCGCCTGAGGTGGGCACGGATGAACTAGCTGCCCTGTGGATTGATGCCCCATTCACCACATTTCACAGGGACAAGGTCTTGCCTGGACTCACGCTTCGCCCCCAAGGTGACATCCGCTTTCCATGTGAACCAGGACATCATCCTTCCAGCTTTCTTCCCCAACCTATCCACCCCCATCAAGGCTACCCTCCACCTCCTTGATGTCAGGAGTGCCCTTGCCTTCTACAGAGCCTCTCTGCCGCTCTGAGGGCCTCTTTGTATGCTACAAGGACCCCAGAACCGGTGAACCCATCTGCAGCCAAAGACTCTCTTAAGTGGGTTTCCAGCACCATCACCCTTGCCTACAAGATGGCTAGAATTCCACTGACAGAGCACCCACATATTCAGTCCACATGTGGTCAAGCCACACCCACTGCGCTGCTAGCTGGTGTCTCGCTCCAAGAGATTTGTAAGGTTGCGACATGGTCCACACCTCGAGGTCCACAGAGGCCATGAAGAGAAAGGCAGGTTGCTCACCTGTAACTGTCGTTCTTTGAGTGGTCATCCATGCATTCACACAACCCGCGCTCTGCCCTGCCGGCTATCATCAGCTTTTTGCCCTGCGTGAGCCAAGGCAGGGCGCGGTCACTGCTCTGTTCGCCACAGAGTCCTCAGATCCCTCGCACACCTGGGATAGTGCAATTTTCAGGTAATTTTTATGCTGCCTGCACAGGGAGTGGGGCTGGCTCCCGCCCGAGCTTTGGAAGTTTTTCTCTGATTGAGGCCTTGCGCTCTGCATGAAGCCCGTTGGTATGAATGCACAGATGACCACTTGATGAATGACAGTTACAGGTAAGCAACCTGCCTTTTTCTTCTTACCTTTCTCACATTCCTCACTCCCTTCTTAGTCTTCCTTCAAGGTCGTTCCTCAGTGCAATCTCTCTCCGCCCTGCAAGGAAGGAGAACCTGGTTTACCCTCCTTCCTACCCTTCTCTACTTTTCGCCTCCATGCCGCTGCGCCTCATGTGCTGCTTGCCTGCCGGCTGCAGATGGCCACTCTCGCTGTCTCCTCTGCCTCAGGAAGGGACGTGTTGTGGAGATCTGCCCACACTGCCAGGCCTTTAAAAAGGCAAGCATGCCAGCAGCAGACAGATCACCTGAAATTCACTCTGTAGCAACATGCTGAGCATGGCTGACTCTTCAAAGTCAGAGTCTGAGGAGACTGTGCGACCCTCCAGATGCGAGAAGAAAATGGCCTCCGCCACCAAACTAGCTCCAGAAGGGCCCACAGAGACTGCGCCTGCTCCGAAGTGTGAGAAGCACCACGCTCCTGCACACGCCGCCTCCGCACCAGCCACATTACCCACGAGGCCGGCCCACACACCCGGGACCCTGGGGTGCCCTTGGATGAATCCCCAGCTGCCTTGGAGCTGCCTTCGCTGGACGAGCATCTCCCTTGTCAGCACGCACCTCACCTCACCGCCTGCATGCAGCTGATCTCCTGCACTGCCCAATTCGCCGGATAGCCACCTCGCCACATGGCCTGCCACTGAACCTGCCCGTGGCTCAAGCACAGGCCGCTGGAGGACCCCAGGGATCTCTCTGTTCCTCCTTCCCGGGCTGCGATGGCACCTCCTCGAAGTTGCCAGCCTCCACAGGCTCACCCAATGGTCCGAGTCCCCAGACCCACCCACCGCAAAAACAGATAGCTGACGGAGGCACCACCTGGACTGGGAGGACTCTGACTCCTCCGCCACAAAGCCAGTTCACTGCAGGTTGTCCACTGTGTGCCACCCCTGAACCTGGCTACCCTCACCTCACCTTGGCCCCGTGCTGACGCCGCCTGCAGCCGTCACCACTCCAGCCTGGATGATCGCCATCAGGTGCGTGCATCCTCAGCGTTGGGAACAAGTAGGCATGCCCAGCGCCTGCAGGGGTCAGTGCCACCTGTTGGAGTGACACGCTCAGATCACCAACGCTCCCTCCATTTGTCAGTCACGCCCCCACTGCAGTCAGGATCTCCCTCTCAGCGCCGAGGCCCACCGCTGGCTGCAGCGTGCAGCCATTTGCAGGCCTGGCACAGAGTCGGACCCGGAGCTCCTGGGCCAGGCATACCTGTGACTGGGATGAACACTGCCGGCTCTCCCACAGCCCTCTCCAGGCCCGCATGCACCATTCACCGGCACCACAACGAGGGCCCTCTGTGTGTGACCACCACAAGTGCGTCAGGTCAGACCCTCTACCTTTGCTTGACCTGACCATACCCTCAGACCCCTCTCACCCCACCAGTGCCCAGGTCTCAGACCAAGACCCAGCCGTGTCACCAGGAGGGAGGGGTCATTTCATGGATCTGGTCCTCCACATGGCGGACAGCTTGGGCCTCCAGAATTCCCACACAGCTGAGCCCAAGGCTGATTCCATTTTGGATGCTCCGGTCTCGGGGGATCCTACGCCAGTTTTCATCCTTGTCCTACCTCCTCTACTGCTCAAGGCACAGCAGTCCTGGAAGGAACATGCAGGTCCCTTGGCCACTTCAAGGAGGATAGATTCCACCTATAAGGTGCCAGATACGTCATTTTCCTTTCTACAGTAGCACCCTAAGCCTAACGTCATCATAGTGGAGCCAACACAGGGGACCCTTCAGTAGGGCCATTCCACATCAGTAGGTAGGGAAAGATGTCCCCTGGATGGCCTAGGGGAAAAAAGGTCTATGCAGCCCCCTCTCTTGGCTTCCATGTGTCCAACTGTGAGGCCACCATGGTCACATAGCAATTTTCCTTTGGGAAAAGATGGGATCCGTGGCAGTGCACCTGCCTGATGATTTTTACAATGGCACCCACCCAGTACAATTGGAAGCAGAGAAACTCTTCAGGTTCAAGATAGAGGCAGGCCTGCATCATGTAATAGGAAGGCCATGATGGGCACTGTAGCGATCCTCCGCTGTGCTTGGCTGCAATCCGTGGCTCTCCCCCCCAAGACTAGGGCACACACTGAGGGCCTGCCATTTATGGTGAGAGCTTTTTAAAGTGCAGACAGGTGAGAACATGGATTGTCTCCATAAGGCACGCATGGGGTTTGTGCATATGTCACAGCAGCATAGACAGCAAGTCCTCCACCTGATGTTCCTTCCCTGACCAACCTTCCTGCTCACAGGTAACTCCTCTCAGCAAGAGGTGTGACTCCCAGCCCCACCAACAGCTCTTGCTCAAGCTCCAGTACAATAGGTGTAGGCACTGACGGTCCAGTCCAAGCTTGTCACCCGCAGGTGTTTCAGGATGGTCACCTTGCACGGCATCCTCTCCCTGCTTAACCAAGGGGACTGGTTCACTTCCATCGACCTGAAAGGCACTTCCTCCAGTACCAGCTTGGCCAGGAAGTATTCCAATTTTCTATCCTCCCCTTCAGCCTGGCCACTGCCCCCCAGATATTCAACAAGTGCATGGCAGGGGTCTGCACTTACTTCCATCTCCTGGGTGTCCAGATCTTCCCTACCTGAACGAGTGGTTCCTGGCAGCCCCTTCCGAGGAGGGACTTCTGCAAGGGCTACATGCCACATACAGCCTTCTGTAGGATCTGGGACCTTTCATCAACAGTAACAAAGCTGTTCTCTCTCCCACACAGTCCATCCTCTTCATAGGAGCTTGCCTGAACTATGGCCTTCCTCCATAGGGCCTTCTTCAAGTATGAGCAGAAACTCTTGCCTCTGGCCACATCCATCAGGGCCACAGCACGCCCCACCACCCACACCATCCAGAGGCTGCTAGGCCTCATGGCTGCCACTGTGTCAGTGCTGCTACTCACACGCCTTCAAATGAGACTGCCCTACAGCTTTGGTCGTGGAAGCCTTCGCAGTGGACAAGGCCTCCACACCAGCACACTGTCCCCCTCTCTGGCAGTCGGGCAGTTCCTCCACTAGTGGGCTCCATTACAACCTCACCACCGGGAGGCTGTTCTCCTCCCACAAACCCACTGTCATGGTCACGGTGGGCACCTCAAACACGGGCTGGGACGCCCACTGTGCTGACATGAGCTCGCAGGGCCTCTGGAACACGCTTGAGTCGAGCCTCCACATCAACATCCTCATGATGCTGGCAGTCTGCAAGACCCATGACTCCTTCCAAGACTCCCTGAAGGGATGCCACATTCAGATAGCCACAGACAACACCACCATCGTGTACTACCTGAACAAGCAGGGCGGGACTCGCTCCACCTGCCTGTCAGCCCTTGCCTTCACCAACTAGGACTGGTGCATCAAGAGGGACATCACCATTGTGGTCACAGGCCACCTCCATACCGTGGTGGACACCTTGAGTCAGTTCACCACTATTCTGCACAAGTGGGAGCTCAAGGCCTCTGTATTTCACGGCCTGTGCAAGAAATTGGCTCCCTTCAAGGCAGACCGCTTTGCCACTCCCCAGCTTGCCAAGTGCCACCAGTTCTGCTCCAGAGCAAGGCAAGGGACTGTGTCCTTAGGGAACACCTTTCTCCTGGGAAGGGGCCCAGTTTTATGCCTTCCCTCCATTCCCTCTGATAACCAGGGATGTTACCAAATACAGAGGAACAAGATGGACTGCATCCTTCTCACCCCTTGGTGGCCAAGGTAGCTGTGACTGCCTCTTCTTCTCTGCCTCTCCAGACAGACCTTCCTCTGCCTGCTGCTAGTCCACAAACTGCTGCCCCAGGACCAGGGCTGGATGCTCCATCCCAACACCAGGATCCTCCACCTGACAGCGTGGAGGATCATAAGGTGACAGATCCGTATAGCTCCCCCCCACCAGCAGTTGCCTCCATCCTCCAGGGCGTGCTGAAGCCCTCCGCCTGCAGATCCTACCTGGCAATGTGGAGGGCATTCACCAGTTTCAGTGGGACACAAGGACTCAATCCCTCTCATTTCTCTATTGAGCACATCCTGTCCTACCTCCAGGGCTGCTTCACCTTGGGCCTCTCCTCATCCCTGAGGGTCCACCTGGTGCCCATCTCATACTTCCACCCACCAGTCCAAGGGTCCTCTGTTTTCATGCACCCCCTGACACTCTGCTCTCTCTGGACCTCAAGAACCTTGCTCCACCCACTCAGCCGTGTACCTCCTCCTGGAGCCTCTCACAAGGAGGTCCTCTGAGCCCATGGCAACATCAGAACTCCCTCTCCTGTCTTGAAAGACTGTGTTCTTGGTGGCCGCTGCGTCTGTCCACTGTGCCAGTGAACTGGCTGCACTTCAGATCAACACCCGCTTCCTCACTTTCCACAGGGACAAGCTTGTTCTGTGCCCCAGACCCTCACCTGACCTCCAGATCATCTGCTTGTTCCATGCCAACCCGGATATCATCCTTCCTGTTTTCTTCACCAACCCCACCACCTCGATAGAGGCCATGCTACTCCTCCTGGATGTCTGCAGAGCCCGCGCCTTTTACAAAGCATGAACCGAGCCACTGCGCCACTCCAACTGTCTGAGGGCCAGAAGAAAGGGGAACCTGTCTCAACTCAGAGGCTTTCCAAATAGGTGTCCAACACCATCTCCTCAGCATACGAGATGGCAAGAGTTGATCTCCCTGCATGCTCCTGCGCACACAGACTGCATCCACTGCCTTATGGCCAGCGTCGTGCTGCATGAGATCTGCAGGGCCACTACCTGGTCCTTGCAATAGACCTTCGGTCAGCACGACCTACTAGATGTCTGCTCCAGCCAAGGCTGCATGTTCAGCAGGGCAGCCCTTTCCTCAATTTCTGGTGATGACAGCCCCTCCCCCAAGAAGGGAAAGCTTGCTGGTCACCCATATGTGTGATGCACAGAGACAACAAAGAAGAAAGGCAGGTGGTTTACCTGTAACTCATACTTCGCGTGGTCATCTGTGCATTCACACAACCCACCCTCCGCCCCAGTGGCTGTCGCCAGCACCGTACTTTCTGTGCTGCCTATTGAGCACAGGGTGCGGTCAACTGTCTCTCTCTCCTCCATGTTTCAAGGCACCCTCACAAGCCTGGGATGATGCCGTCTTCAGGGCAACTGAGGGACTGGCCGGGAGCCTCCTCTTTTATCCAGACTTCCGGAAAGGGCAGCGCAGGGCTCCCGCCCGCTCTGCGATGCTTTGGAAGTCTTCTCCAGTCCAGGACTTGCACTGCATGGCGAAGCCCATATGTGTGAATGCACAGATGACCACTCAAGGAACGACAGTTACAGGTAAGCAACCTGCCTTTTCTCATCCACAGCTTTCAGCAGCTGATAATAGCAATAGGAAACATGTGAGTTAAGACATTAAAAAAGCAACAAAATGTCAATTAAACTCAAAGACCAATTCATCACTGTAGGTTTTGTTTTTCTCCAAGCTAAAAATGAACAGGTTGGCATACTTCCTAAGGAAGCTCATTAATTGACCTTTCAGATAAAATAAAAGTACTGTTCTTCACAGGTGATCTAAAGAATTTTGTAGATGAAATTCAGAGTAAACGTTCCCTGATGCTTGTGGGAGGAGGTGTCATACAGGGAGACATGGTCTTTGAGATAAACAAATCCCATCATTGGAAACTTTCATGGCAAAGCTACATGTTGAGAAGAAGTAGAAAAAATAGGAAGATGGTGCAGTTGCACCACTGTCAAAAACCTGAAATGCCTTCAAGGACAGTTTTACATGGAGCTTTTTACAGTAGCTAATCCTGGAGATTATAAGGGAATGCTCATGACAATTTTTCCCAGTAAGGATGTTGTTGACATATTGGATATAAGTAATATAAGGTATGCTTTATCATAGCCACCTCACATTTTTCAACTAACATTTCTTGGGTTCAAGACAACCAACCTCATCACAGGCATGTTGCAGATGTTAACCTACTTGGTGTGCATGTGGGGACATTTGATAATGATTATCCAATTTGTTGGGAGTTGCAAAGGTGATATATAGGATAAAAGTATTATGAAAGATTTTAAGCTAATAGAAGGGTATTTATTAATTTTGGGATGCTGATAGGTTTCAATTTAATAATAAAACCTGTCCATCTAAAATGTGACTAAATGTTTTGAACTCTCATTCCTTATAGGTTATCATTTTTCACTGTCAGTATGCTTCCAACTTCTGAGAGTAGTTTAATTCTGTGGCTAATATTTGCCTTTCTCATATTTCTCTTTTCGCAGGCTTTGGGTATCTGACAAAACAGCTCATGGGTCTGGCTGGAGGAAGAATTATTCTGGCCCTTGAAGGAGGCCACGACCTGACAGCCATTTGTGATGCTTCTGAAGCATGTGTTTCTGCTTTGCTAGGAAATGAGGTATAAAGAAAAGCAAAGGCATTCTGGATTACATGGAAACATAGAAACAGAAACAGAGCGAGTCAGAAGGGGTCTCCTGGGCAATCTAGTCTGACCCCCGGCTCCAGCCAGCTGCACTCATGAAATGCCCACCATGTGCATGTCTAGTTTATCCTTGAACACCCTCACCAATGGGGCCTCAACCACCTCCCCTGGAAGCCCATTCCATACCCTTGGGGTCCTCACTGTGGGGAAGTGCTTCCTGGCATCCAAATTGAAGATAAGATTACTTATCTATACAAATTTTCTCTGGCACAGGTTTGCACAACCATCAGTGATAGTTGGTATTATAAAGAGAAAACCTGGAACGTATTGTTCTAAAAGTGGTTATGTGTTAGCTACATTCTCTGTACAAGAAAATAAAGCAGGCTGGCCACTTGCTGTAGGCTTGTCCTACTACAATCTTTAGAATGTGAGGTCTGGCAATTCCAGGCAAATACTACAGTCCAGAAATACAGGAGCACACTAAAGTTTTTCAGTCATTTTCCTCCTGCTGCTCTATTGGCCCCTGCTTTGGTTTTCAAGTAATTTTGGTTAACAGTGGTTTTACTAGAACATTCTTGAATTGTCCCCTCCCCCCCATTGGACAGCTAATCAGGGAAATTCAAGGGATTCAGGGACAGCACTGTGATGGAGGAAGTAAAAAAAAGAACTTATTTTATGAAACTATTTTCAGCATATCTACATCAAAGTTCTTTTCTTAATCAGGCTGGTATATCAAAAAGAAGCAATTATTTGGCAATGAAGTTCCTATGTATTGGGCAGAGGGGTGGCATTATCAAACACGACCAACTCCAGAATTTAAATAGCCTTCAGCAGAGCCTATCTAATGGATCTGTGGGACCATAGTCTCAGCTTTCAGTTCTCCAAAAATCCAGTGTCCCAGAATCCTGGTGTCCTGGGAAATGTTGGATTTTTTTGAAAGGCCAGCACATGTGTTTTGGTACTACAACACTTGTTCTACGCACAAATGCCTCAGAACAATATAATTTCAGGAGTACCATATCTAGGGGATGCTAACTTGACAGCCGCTGGAAGAAGAGACTCTAGTAGTCATCAGCATTGGCAGTAAGGCGCAGCAGATGCTTGAGAATGATATCAGGTCTTTTATTTTTAAAAAATCACACTTGATTAGGTAAGTTAGGTAGCTTGGTTAGGTAGGGCATACTCTGATTTATCCTAGATTGAAAATTGTGCTATGAGTATTTGACCTTGGAACCCACATTGTGTTTATATAACCAAAGTTCAATCTAGCATTTATAATAGTTCACTTTTGTGAATAACTGCATTATTCTTTAAAAAATTCAAAAAGCAGAAAGAAGTGGTTTTATTGTGAATTTTCTTGAGATTATATTAAAGCAAACTTGTTCACATAAATAATATTGATCCATGTGGCATACTCCTTGAAATGAATCCTTTGGAAGCATGGTAAAACAATTTTGCATGGAGAGCTTGAAAGCTGCTGTAGGCAGCAGTAGGCAGTGGGTGAAATTGGCAGTAATACAAAATAAGGACATGAAACAGGTTTAAAGTCTCTTCCTACCTTACATGTTGTTGAACTTAAAACTACTGTGTTATATACACTTTCTTAGGCATAAATCCTGTTAAACTCAATCAGACTTACTAGCAAAAAGCGTAACGTACAGTAGGACATCTGTGTAAAGCATTAAGAGAGAATGTTAATAGGGACCATTTCTAGTACTTACATTTTTCCTATTTTTTGTCAGAAATTTTAAACTAAAAATTGCTAGAATTTTTCATGTCATAGAGCTGAAGCAGTGTAGCTGTAGTTAATTATACTGAGGGGGGATGCTGCAAAGAATAAGCATACATTTAAAAAATGACAGTACTTTATAAGCTGTATTAAACACCACATGAGAAGTTTTATGTTGTGGCCAAGCTGAATAGTACACAGAGCATTGAACATCTGGCTACCTTTCGCTTCCAGTATTCAGATTTCTAAATGACTTCAATAACATATTGCTGTACCTTTCGCAGCACAAGTGGTGAAATATTGCATGGAGATCTTCATGGTCTGGTACAAGGTGCCTTCTGGTTTGCATGTCATCTTAAGAATATTTGTGCCAGTTCTGAACTGTTTATAGATTCATAGGAATCCACTTTAATAAATAAATAAATAAAATATTTATAAAGGCGCAAAACACTGAGGATCGAGGAAGTAAGCATCAGTTAAGATGTTACTGTATAAGCAGAAATCACAGATGTAAGAAACATTAATTGTGCCTTTTTTGCATGCCAATCAAAACTGTGCACAAATCCATATATCATCCATAAGCATAGTACTTGGACCTGAATGCAAGAAAGTCCTACATGACCATTAATCACATAATGGTACTAATTTGTAGCAGAGTTTTCATCCTGTCTTCCAACAACATCTGTTGTTACTGCTCATTAAAAAAAACTGAATAGCTGAAAATTTTTGTTCTTTTACCATTTCTGAACAAGGAATTTCCATGGACTGCCTACATATTTTTCCACATTTGCTTGTAACATTTCCAGATGGAGAATATTGCAGAATAGATGCAACTTAGTCTTCACCAGTATAAAAAATGGTAGTTATACAGATAAGTTATTAATAAACTTATTAACAGCACTGTGAAGTCCTCAGAAATTAAAATCAAACTTGAGGCTTAAATCACATATTTAGGATTGGAAAACAAACCCTTGAACAAGTTAGTTTGACTGATCTGGTTGCATTATACAAGTGTTATCAGAGGATGGATGGATGGATGTACCAAAATCTTCTAGAGAACATGGGACGTTTCTTTTGCTTGAATCACCAGGTTTTGCTTTTTCTAGATTTGTTTTTGGCTATCATCTCCAAACCTATCAGTTCTAAATGAAATAAACCCTGAAAGTGCTGAGTTTGATAGAAAACTTATTGATAGTTAACTAAATAGTTCAAAATACACTTTTTGAGACATTAGTTTAGTATGAACAATTGCAACCCAATTTTAAGACATTTAAATGAATATTCTATATGTTAAATAAACTGGTAGAACATATTAAAAGAATCAAGTCATATGCAAATGATTGATAATTATTTTCTGTATGGCTTTTTGGTGTCATTGTATCCTATATTTTGAACCCCATAAATTCTATCATTTGGATAAATTATTTGGAAAAGCCATTTCCCAACTTCTCTCCTAATACTCTGTCACATTCTAGAGTGTACAAGAAACAGAACCTAGAGTAGCATAAGGGTAGCTGGAACTGTTAGGTTCAGTAATAGGTTTGTCACCCAACGGTATCTCCCTTTTATCTTTTACTTGGTCCAGATTGCCATGATTTCCTTATAAAGAAAATAAATGCACTGCACTTTGGGGTATTGTTGCCCCAAGAACAAAACTGCCCTTTACTCATAATAATAGCCATGCCCTCACAGGGAATGTAGGATGTGCACATCAGCATGCACATACAGCAATAAATAAGCATCATTCCACAAATGACATCTTGTGTGCCAGGGCGGTAAGGAAATAAAAATGTTTGGCATTTACGGAGCGCATTAACAGTCCACATACATTACTAGTAATAACTATAATGTATGTGGAAACGCACATGGTAGGCATGTCATGAGCAGAGCCAGCTGGAGCTGGGGGTCAGACTAGATGGCCCATGAGACCCCTTCTGACTCGCTCTGTTTCTGTGTTTCTGTAATGACTGTATGTAGGCCACTGTTACCCCATTTTGAAGATTTGGGTTGGATGTTTTGGCTAAGAGAGGATTGCTTTCTCAAGTTCACCTAATAATTAATGCTAAGTTGCTATTGATCCAAGAACTTTTGGGTTTACATACATAATAGCTGTGCTGCACCATGATTTTTCAATAGGGGGATCTAAAATATTAAAAATAAATCTGAAAGCACAAGGAGCAGTTCACTGAAGCCCTTTGGCAGTGAGAAAAGAAGTGACCTTGTAATTAATGGTTTGTTTCTATAGATAAACATGAAGTATGATTTCCTTATGTGCCTGAATCCCTCAACCCAACCTCTTGACTTGTCTGCCAGAACACTAGTAGAAACAGACAACTGGGGACTAGCAACCTTCTCAAGGAGGTTAGGTGGAGTCTCAATACCTGTACAAACCTCCCTTAAGTCAACGAATTACACTATAAGGATAAGCCAGCCAATTTTAGGCGTCAAACGAGAGTCTACAGCCCTTTGCTACCTAGGGTGTCTAAGAGTGAAGCTGGCACTATCTCAGTTGGGACAGCCAACCAAAATGCTAGCGCTGTTCTTGACTGGCGCAGTTCTTTCCACGATTCAATCGGCAGACTGCTCAGTTGCAGAGTCCCCTCAGGCTCCTACGGTGCACCTTTCTCCAGGAGAACTGTAGTGATTGCCATATTCCTGTAACTAACCTAATCCTCCAGATCAGCACTCATTATGTTCCTCTCTGATCAATATTAGAAACATTGTTCTGGAGGCTGGAACAACATTTTAAAAATAGGGGTTAGAATAGATAATTCATATAATTCCAAAGACATGCAGACCTTTGACATATCTTTTTAAAAGACTTCCTCTTACACCATCAGACGGCTTTAAAAAAATCAAGGAAAGAATTTTGCTCAGAAAGGGAGACAATCAATTTTAGATATTCTAATGTGCATTGAAGAACTATGGTTCTTTAATCTTTTTTACTGTAGAAGGGTTACAAATTTGCTAATCATTGTGACAGAATCACATCAAGCTTAGAACTTGATTGAGAAATTTCAGAGTATATTGACACTTCAGAATCACCACCGAAAGAGTGGCCGTGGCTGTGTTACTAGATTGCTGGAGGTGAGCCATGGCCATAGGCCTGCATTTTTCCTGGTAATAAAAACTAGTTTTCTTTCTGTCTAATTTTCTATGTAAGGACAGGAGAAGTAGCAGCAGTAGAATATGATGGAATAACAGAGGGCAAGGATGCTTCCATCCTCAAACTGTGTTCAGTTTGAGAGAGGAAGTAGCTTTGGAAGAACCATATTTTCTTATTTATGGAACTGTGAGTGGTGAATAGTCAGTTGCTCGTATGTGAAACTTTGCTCTTGCTGATGAGTTCTCCACACCCTCCCCCATGTACTGCACATGGGCTTCTCTCCTACCAGAAGGTTATTCCAAGACAAGGTGTGCAAAGAATTGAAAGGAACATGTGGGCATATCTGTTGCTAATGGTCTACCCGGGCGCAGTTCTGTAAACATGGGATGGTTGCTAAGTAACCCATCCTCTGCCTGTTGTTATCATCTCTTTTTCAATTATTGCCTTGAAGGAAAAATGAGGAAAGGAATTCTCATAGATATGCCAAATTGCTTGGAGGAATGTATTCAATATGGAAGAATAGGGAGGTTACTGAGAACATGGTATTTAAGGGTGTTAGCCCACTGCTGTAGTTGTCTTGGTAAATTTTGACTCTGGGCAGTCACTTTCTGAGCATCCTTTAATGATATCACTTAAATTATAATTACTTCCTTAACTTCCAATCCATGAAGACATCTTTTGTTTTAAATACACTTTTATTGGATTAAATGCCTTGTCAGTTGAAGTGAATCAGATGGTAAAGACCAGAGCAAGAGTTGGAAATATTTACATAAATTCCTAAGATTAGCGTTCTTAAAGCAACTGGGAACAAGTGGAAATGCTCATTTTCAGGACAGGGCATGTCAGCAGAGTTCACAGAAGGGAAATAAGCATTGCCTTAGAAACATTAACTCCCCATTGCCTGGGCGCACAGCAGTATTGGACAGCTTATTTGACACCAAATATGATCCACCGTAAGTTGTGCATGCTTAGTGCATTGAAAGCCAGCTGCATTATAGTCTTAATGGCAATGTCTTAGAGGGCAGAGGGCTTTTTTAAAAATAGTGGGTGGCGTGGGTTCTTTCAAGGAGCTAAAACCACAGCACTGGAGTGAGACTTAACATATTGGGAAATCTACAATTGTTGAAATAATAATTTAATGTTAATTGTACTAGGCTAAACTATTTTTTAATTATTTCAGCTTGATCCTATTCCTGAAAAGGTATTACAGCAGAGAGCAAATGGCAACGCAGTGCATTCCATTGAAAAGGTTATTGAAATACACAGTGAGTACATAGGAGTGATTCTGTGCCTAGAGTTCGTAATTCATTATTTAAGATGTTAAGCTCCACACGATTCACATGCTAAACGACGACTTGAACTTGCATGCAGGCTGCATTAGGATAACAGAAAGAGCAGCTGTGGAGATCCAAAATGATTTCAGAAAGAAATGGCATGTTTCTTCAAACAAAGCCAAGATGGAAGTGATTTCTCAATACCAAAGGGCAATGAACCATTAGGAATGATAAATAGATCAAGAAGATATGCAATACAAGAAAATGGATCAAAATTCACATGGTAATAGACGTACACTGAACAGCCCTAAAGTATTAGCTCACAGTAATTTTGGAGGAAAAAGTCACAGGTACAGAAGGTAGTCAGAAGGTAGAACTATAATGAGGCACAGAAGTTCACAGGAATCCAATATAGCACTTCCTATCCCTTGCTTCTCTCCCATCTCTCATCCAAGTTAAGAATGGAATTTCCTTGCTAGTGCTTTTCTGTTGTGGAGATCAGGCAGCAACCATGTTTTGGCAGCCTCCTGTCCACTTTAGTGTCTAATACGCAATCACTACTTAGCTCCAGCATCCCCTTCTGCAGCAAGCGTATAGATGCCCTACACTAAGATGTGTTTGTGCACCTCCTCCCCACATAGTGAACTGGCAGCCCCCAGATTCACTGGCAAAGCGAGATTTGGCCTTTTAGACCAAATGGATCTGCACTCTTACTTTCTCCAGGAGTTAATTGTCTTCATTCCTCTTGCATCATTCTTTCAATGTTTTTACGGCAGGAAGCTTCCTTGGCCTTTTCTTTCTCAAGTGTTGTGGCCTTCAGAACTTGGCCATCTTGCTATTTTTGATATTCATTGTTGCTTGGCAGCCTTATTCTTCCTGTGCATTTGACACATTATCCCCTCTGTCGTTCCATCCAGGAACGTTCTTCTTCCATACAATCCTGCATCTCCAAGCTCTTGTGTTTCCATTTAGATGTTTCATTGTGAACTCAAGCTTAATATGTTCAGTACCAAATTTCTCACTATCTCCCAAGCTCTCTCATCTTCACTCAATTTCTCTTCAGGCCCCACCATGTTTAACCAGTAACCAACCCTCCTTCCATTATTATTCTGTAAAAACACAGCCCATCCTTTCTGTCTCCTGAGCAGAAAGTCTGGTTCATATCCTTGTCATCTCTCCTTGACTATTCCAGTCTATGCAGTCTCCTAGTGTTTGCCCTTCGTCTGCTTATGTCCACCCAGCACTCCTGTTTCCACTGCTCTTGTTACTCAAATGAGCATTACTCAAACCATGTAATACCCATCCTTTGATATCTTTCTTTCCACAGATCCAGCACAAGCTTCTACTGTGTACCTTCAAAATGCTGTATGTTCTTGCTCCCCACTCCACTCCTCAGCCTTATCTTTCTTATAATCCCCCCATGGTCTCCTGTTTCCTGCAAAGATTCTTCCATTTTTCTCTATTATACCTGAGACTGCTTTATAGGATGCCACCTTACATCCCAGCAACCTCCTCTTTCTTCAAGCCCTACTCAAAAATGATTCTTTCAAGGAAGGCTTTTAAACTTTAGTTGAGTTGTAGGGCTTCTTATAATTAACCCAAAATATGTGTGATTTAGATAATAGCATATTCCTTCCCTTAACTCCATTTTCCTCCTTTCCTTACTTTTTACCCTGTGTCTGTTTATAGATGAAAAGCTCCTTAGAAGTAGGAACCTGTCAAACCTGTTCTTTGTAAAGTATCCTGTAGAGGGATTGTATGATATAAAATCTTAGAATTGTAGAGTTGGAAGGGGCCAAGAAGGCCATTCTGTCCAACCCTCTGCTGTCTCAGGACACCAGTTTACTATTCCACTCAGATGACTGTCCAGTTGCTTTCTGAATTTCTCTAGTCTGGGAGATCCCACAATTTCTCTAGGCAACTGGTTCCATTGTTGTATTGCTTTGACAGTGAGGAAACTTTTCCTGATACCTAGCCTGAATCTAGTTTGCTACAACTTGAGTTAATTATTCAGTGTCTTACACTCTAGGATGAGCAAAAAGAGATGTTGTCCTTCCTCTTCGTGATAGTGTTTCAGGTCCTTGTAGAGTGCTATCCTATCCCCCCTCAGTCCTCTGGCTCAGCATACCTTGTTCTCTCAGTCAGACTGATTGTACCATATTATAGTAGTTGTAATAATAAGAACAACAACCACAGGGATTCTTCTGTTACTGTATTAAAAGTAATAGGCAGTAATGGATTCTTCTCTTTGTATTTCTATTAGGTAAGTACTGGCACTCACTCCAGCGTTATTCCTCAACAGTCAGCTATTCTTTGGTAGAGGCACAGAAGTGTGAGAATGAAGAAGCAGAGACTGTAACAGCCATGGCATCACTGTCAGTGGGAGTCAAGCCACCACCTGACAAAAAGTGAGTTACGTCCTTCCTTTCCATTTACATACACCCACCATGTCCGAAAAGGTATGTTATATATATTATTATAAATAGATCCATTGGAAGAGACAAAAACTTGGAATTAATAACAAGTAATATCGAATTGGTATCACTGCAGCAGAGGTTTCCATCAGCAGGATGAGGAGGGAGGGAGTCCTTGGCAATCCTTTCCTGCAGCCCCTCCAGTCTGCTGTAGACAACCCCTCAGAACAGCATGGGAGGCAGCCAAGGCAGCTGGAGGGACAGGGCTGGCCCATTGCTCATGCATAGTGAGGCAGATCAGGAAGGCAGAAGATAGGGGCCCTCTCCCTGCCCTGCCCAAATGTTTTGTTCCTTGCCTGTCTCTGAAAACACTGTCACCAGGTGCCACTGGGGGACCATTATTGTCCCCTTCTGTCCCAAGAGGAGCCTGAGCAAGCAGAAGAACAAGCATGAGAGTGCCTGGGGAGGAGCAGTAGCCATTGCTAGCTCAGACAAGTGGAAACAAGCTCAAACAGCATACTGATCAGCTCTCCTCGGCCATTCGCCCTTGCTTTCTGCTACTGCACCAGAATGGGCTCTCAGAGAACAGTGAGTCATTTACAATAAGGACAACTGGAGGAAGTAAAACTTCCATGGTATACAGGCATTCCTTGTTTTATTGCATTTTTTTTTACAAATTGAAGGTTTGTGGCAACACTGTGTTGATCAAATCTATCAACACCATCTTTCCAACAGCATTTGCTCACTCTGGGTCTCTGTGTTGCATTTTGGTAATTCTCACAGTATTTCAAATGTTTTCATCATTATTATACACATCATGGTGATTTGTGATAGAAACAAAGAAACAGAGCAAGTCAGAAGTGTGCTTCCAGGCCATCAAGTCTGGCCCCTGGCTCCAGCCGGCTCCACTCATTTTTAATTTAATTAAATTAATTTAATTAAAACATTTCTATGTCATCCTTTGCAACAAGCCTCAGGACAGCTTGCAGAAGATAAAATAACAATATAAAATACCATTAAAACATTCAACAATAATACAACAAACTACAATTCACAACTAAAAAAAAGGAGAAAAAATGACATGCCTGCCATGAGGTTACTCTTCTAATTGTTTTGGGCACCACAAAGCACATCCATATGAGATGGCAAACTTAAAACTTTTTTTTAGATATAATGCTATTGCACACTACATGCAGTAGACTACAGTACAGTGTAAACATTGCTTGTATACACACTGGGAAACTAAAAAAAATGTGTGACTTGCTTTGTTGTGGTGGTCTGGAACCAGAGCTGCACTATCTCTGAGGTGTGCCGATAAATGAAAAGAGGAGGGGAAACTATTTAAGTGGCTGGAAGCAGGGAGAAAGCAGGAATCACTTCTCATTGTTGCCACTTTTTTAAAAAATGCCCTTCTTGGCAAAGCAGGTAAAGAAAAACTTTGCAATTTGCCTTTTCTCTGGAGTTTGATGTTTAAAATTTGGGGTGTGGGGTACAAGTCATTTCTGTAAATAATCTAGTGTAGTATGCAGTGAGTTGTTTCTGTTGTTATCAGCAGACTTAGGCTGCAGTGCTGTGCACAGCAGAGACAACCCTGGGCATATCAGAGATTAACTGCTTTGAAGTAAGCAAATACACCTGATAAAATGTCACACAAAATTACTTGAATCCCCAAATGGTATTCATGGGATTTCAAAATTAAGTCTTCCAAAACAGTTTTGAAAAAATTTCTTGGGTGGCAAGTTATGATGTTGGCATGGGCAGCTGATGTCCACTTTTAAATATCCCGATACAAAAGCAGGCACAGGATTCTATGCTTCTGATGCTCGTGTAGGAGAAGAAACTGAAGCTCCTCATGCATGTGCAACAGAAATTCATGGATTGACAATCCCTTTCTATTATGGGAAATATCTGCTGTATCTGGTCATACTAGCCTTCCCCCTTTTGGTAGTATAATCAATTGGATTGCCACCATTTTCCCCTAGTAGAGTGCCTATGTCTTTAGCAAGCAATAATTAATAATAGCGCATCTTGTGCAAGTGTATTCAGATAGTAATCCTATTGAATTCACGACACACTACCAGTGTTAGCACACTGTTATTTTAGACTTACCCTGATTGTTTGTTTGTTGCATTTGCATGCCGCCCCATAGCCCGACGGCTCTCTGGGCGGTTCACATCACAAACATAGCACCACAGCTGACATAAAAATAATAGATAAAATTTTGCATTGGATTGAATAATAAGAGACATGTGTTTGAATCATTGAGCAAGGAAGTCTGTTCTTTAGAGCTGAGGTCTCAAATGTGGTATCTGACAGGCTATGTGCCTCTCCTTATTTTATTTCTTAAGGGTTTTTTCCCCACTTTTTCACTGGAAGATCAGTATGTGGCATAGTAAAATCCTACCTTCCACTGCTGCCTTTTGCTCAGAAGAGTGGCATTCAGATCCCAGCACCACGACCTTGTGATTACTATTTTGGGCAACTTAATTTTCTATTAGCCACACAGCTTACCTTCTGGGAAATTAGTGTTGTGTGACCAGCTGTGCTGACTGTGGCAGCCATTTTATGAGAGCATGCACAACTATCTCATATTTTAAATGTGCCCATTAACTCAGAAAGGTTGGGAGCTCCTAAAGGTCGTTTTAAAGGAAGTTTTCATGATTTCTGTAAAGATGCTGAAGTGGGCTTCTAAATAGAAGGTAGCTCTTCAAACAGACGGATGTAGAATCAAATCTTTTACATTGTCAAGGCAAGATTTTATTATCCCACAAGTCTCTTTTAAGATTTTCTTTTATTCTGTGACCTCCAAATTGTGAAGCACACAGAAGCCACTATGTAATCTTGAAAGCTCATAATTTTGTAGCACAATATTGGACTTGGGGTAGGCTGAGTGGTTCAGGATGTAGAAACTAAAAATTACTCTGGTTCTTCTTTGTGATATCTATGAAACACATACATGGATTCTGTGCCTGCATGGAGCCAGCTGTCAGAAATTTTTCACAACTGAGAGTATTTTGGCAGGAATCCGTTCCCCACCCTTGGCATTCAGTATTTTAGGAGGCGTTCCCATCCATTCCCTCGGTTCTTTTTCAATTGCCATTGTGGCGCCTCATGAAGTTCTTTCCTCTGTGATTCTTGGTGATTCTTAGCATTTCCTGGCTTCTTCTCATATCCACATCTTTGCAGTACAGGTATTCCTTGTTCCCTTTTTTTGTTCACTAACCTGTTACTCCCCCCGCCTTCCCACACACAAAATAGTCCTCATCTTCCCAAAACTTTTTCCAGTCTTTCTCTTCTTCCTCTTCAAATGATGCAAGGTGTCTTGAAAGTATTATCACTTTGGGGGAAAAAATCCCAACTGATGGACATTCATCCTGCCAATCAGGGATACATGATTGATTCCTCCCCTCATTACCAGAGCTTCACTAAGAACACCCAAAGAAACAAGGCAGAGTGCCTGAGAACAGAGCTGTGGAGCAAGGTGCTGCAGGCAACAGACTTACCCAAGTCTGCAAAGAGGGGGTGCCCATCTGTCTCAGAGGCCCCAGCCTCACCTCCAACTCTTCCTGCTTTCTGTGGCATTAACCATGGGCCAGACTGCTCCACCAATGCCTGGACACTCACTGGAGCTGCCCATGGCCAAGAGGTTGGGAGAGAGGGCCAAAGTGGCAAAACTGGCAGAAGCTGCTAAATCAAAGGGCCACAAGCAGCATTTGAAGACCCACCATTCTGAGCCAACTTCAGCTTCAAATTCAACCGCATTTGATTTTGACCCTACAGTACATAGACAAGAACCAGTTTCAGCAACCTTGGTATTGAAAGGAGAGATTTGGGCATCTTCAGGATCACATTGGTTGGGCACCATCTCACCAGTCCAGATGGAATCAGCCTGCAGCAGAACTGAGCACTGTAGAAACTGAGCACTCTTGGTCGCCTCTCTCAGACTGCCCAGAGCCCCATTGCCTTGGACTGCAACCTTCCAGAAACTGGACTGTGCCACTGCCTTCTGTATAGCACTGCACCAGACATTGCCTATCTGACAGATACAGCCTCATCATCACTCGTGGCTGATCTTTCTCATCTCCTGAAGTGGCTCTGGGAACCAGCTTCTCCAACTGAAGGCCTGGAACATTTTTTGATTGAATCTTCCAAATGGCCCAAGTCTCTTGGTCTGGACTAGCAGCAGCTGATTGAGAGAATGGATGACCCAGTGTTGAAAGCAATCTATGTAGAGATGTCAGTGCTGGTTGTGATACTGTTTCAGCCAACATGCTTGTAGACAGTACATGGAAGACCCTATCCTCTGTGACTCCAATATCCTTCCTCTTTCAGGAAGGTCACATTGAGAAGACTCCGGTTGACAGGGATGGCAGCTGCCTGGATCTTATAAGGGAGGCACATCCACTCACCTTCCACCTAGGGACTGTGGGTACCAGGCTACCATGACTCAGTACCAGCTTTTTTGGGACAAATTGACTCTCTGTGACCTCCTGAAGAGGATCCAGGAGTCCAAAGACTGCCAAGGTCTTCCAAGAACAAGCATCTCACCTCTCCCATTAGCAGATTCACACAGGCAGGCACCAAGCCAGTTATGGAACCAAAGTTATGACTGGGCTGATAGCATTTGAGGAAGCACATTGTGACTACTCTCTGCCAGTTTGTTGCAGGAGCCTGCTCCCACACTGAAGACATGCCTTTTGACTGGGAGGGCTTCTTTAATGTGATTTAATAGGATTTGGTCTAGAAAGCCCAGTCAACAGCCAGATGGATGGAACTCAGTCAGCAACTTAATACAGTCCCAATGGTGCCTCAAATGGTACCAACCCAGTCAGTCCCCCATGAACCTTGGAGACAAATGGACCACTGTTGCCTACAACAACCTGCATCCTTTCCTAAATGATGCCACCTCAAGATACTGACAAGGGCACAGGTGCTCTGAAACTGACAGGTATCAACTGTGACCATCTCCTTGGACTGGTTTCCCTTCCCATACTCTAGTTCCCCTTTCCCATGCCTACACCTCTCTTTCTGCCTTCCCACGTGGGAAACAATAACATTGGGTGCCTGGGTCCTTTTTGTTGTGGAACAGGGATACAGGATCGAGTTTGACATCCTCCTGCCTCTCAGAATCTAAGGAGTATGGTTTGACCTATGGTTTGATCAGACTCATTGCTTTTGAAGGATGCTATAGAGTGAATTCCAACTTTCCAACCAAGATGGCTTCTGCTTCAGATACCTTCTGGCAGTGATTTTCAACCACCGGGAGATTTTCTGCCGGTCTGGGGGGGGGGGGGCAGAATCTCAGTGGACTGGCGCACGGGCTGGCTCTCCTCCATCTCCTCTTCCTTAGTGGATGTTGTCAGTGCACTGGTGCCATTGGGGGGCTGGGGGCAGAGAGATGGGTTGGTGGGAGCTGGTTGGGAGCCACATGGTGCCGATTCCAGTATTTTGTTCTTTGTTGGCATTTTTTGTTGCTTGGTTTCTAGTTGCTTTGGAGACGTCCTCTTCTCTTCTCTTCTCTTCTCTTCTCTTCTCTTCTCTTCTCTTCTGTGTGTATGTTTGTGTTTGGAAACTAATACACAGAATACTGTATTATATGTATGGTGCTTTTTGTTTCTGCTTTAGCAGTCCGCAGTGGTTTTCCTGTTTTTGCTGGTCCCCAGCTGTGGAAAGGTTAAAAACCACTGCCGTAAGGTACCAAAGCAGGATGGAGGGATCTGATCGATACTGGGTCTCAGAGATACCAACTTCTCTATCTCATCAAAAAAGCTCCATGTGGTGATGTTGTAGAACATTCTACCCTTCCTGCAGGAAGGAGACTGGGTTGCCTCCACTGATTTGAAGGACACATAATTCCACACTTCTCTAGAGGCCTTACAAGTATTTCCTACATTTTGGGTCTGGAAGAGTTTCCAGTTTTCTGTTTTGCCATTAGGACTGTCCACAGTCCTATATCTGCAAGGAATCCAGGTTTACCCCTACCTGGCTGATTGTGCATTATCTAAATGAGATTCCCTTATTCCATTGAAGCTACCTGCATTTTATAGGGGAAGTTGGGGCTTTGTATGAACTTTGAACATCTTCTCTCTCCCCTTCTCAGCTGATCCTCTTCCTTGTGGTCCACCTCAACATCAATTCAGCGAAGGTGTAACTTCCAGATTCTAGTGTGTCAGTCCTGATCAAGGTGACCAACAGACTGCACAGACACCTTGTTGTCACTACTTTCCAGATCTAACAGCTCCTTGGCTTCATGGCAGCAGAGGTAACAGTGGTACTGTTGGCCAGGCTCTGGATGTGTCCCCTGCAGCTGTGAATCATCTACATGTTCCACCACACCGATAACTCTTGAAGAACTCACGTTCACACCCCAAAATCAATTCTTGAGTGGTGGATGCATTAAGACAACTTCACTAAGAGGACTCCTTTCTCTCCCCTGAGCTGGGTTTCATATTGATCATGGATACCTCCCTGTCTGGATGGGGAGCCCACTGTGGTTCTCTGAAGATCCGTGGGACATGGAAAGAGTTTGCAGCCTCCAAGTATATAAATCATTTGGAATGTCTGCAGTGAAGAAGGCTCTTGTGGCTTTTCTCTCTTTGCCATGTCCAGATTGCCACAGACAACAAACACCCTCCGGCCTCCCACAAGGAGGCACGTAGCCTATTCTTTGGCCTACCTAGCTGTCTAGATCTGGGATAGGTGTATCAACAAGTGCACTGTGATCCATTTTACTGGTGTTGGCAACACTTTGGCTGACACTTTAAGCTGCTTGACTTTACGCTCTTTAAGCTCTCAAATGCCACGAGTGGCAACTCAATACTAACATGCTGAGGAAGATCTTTGCAAAGGGGAAATGCCTCAGATTGATCTTTTTGCCACTGGAGACAGTGCAATATGTCCCTGCTTGTGCCAGAAGTTTGTGTCAGAGTAAATTGTCTTTTTGGAAGAAAAGTCCTCTTTCTGGTTCTCCAGTAATGACACCAGCCCTCCTTCAGAATGGTAAGCTTGATAATTCCCCATATGTGTTATGCACACAGACCATAAAGAAGAAAAGCAGGCTGCTTACCTTGTTTTTCCAGAGGTTATCTGTGTATTCACAGAACCTACTCACTGTCTCCTCTTAGGTGTCATATACTAACAGTTTTACTTATTTCATCATGACTGGTTTTGACCAAAGTCAAGGTAAGCCTGTCAGATCCTCCCTCTCAAATGAACTGAAGGAATGTGTAGGAACCCCTCTAATACACTGATTCCGAGGGTGATGGAGGAGTTCCTGCCAAACCTCTCTCAGTTGCGAAAGCATCCTGACAAGAGGCCCCATGCAGGCGGAGAGCTCATATGGGAATGCACGGATGACCACTCAAAGAGCAGTAGTGAGAGGTCAGTCACCTGCCTTTCTTTCAGCAAAAAGACTGAGGGCCACACTGTGCTTCAGAAGTTTGTGGTTAACCTGTGCAGTGGATCCTATAAGTAGGACATCTCATTTCCCCATGTCTTATAATGTTCTTTCTTTCTCTGCTTCTACTCCACCCAGTTCCATTAATTTGATTCCTTTCTGTGAATGTATTTACAGGCCAGATGAGGAGCCCATGGAAGAAGATCCTCCCCTGTAGCACTCATCTGTAGGTTGAAATTGTCCTGTTCGTTTGTCTTGTCCTGAAACTCTGCCAAGAAGCTTTCTCATGTTACTCCTGCATCCTGTCATGGTTTTCTTCCAGACGACAGCAAGGCAGCCATGCATGAAAGAAAGCTAAATTTCTCCGTACCTGTACAGAATGTGTTTATGGGAAAGAAAAAATGCAGGTGAAGAGCAAGTACATGAAAGACATGGGCACTGAGCATTTTCCCTCTTTTCCTGAATGGGAGCGATGAGAGGCAAGAAGCCAGTGAAGTATTTGGCAGAGTTGCCAACATACACACACACACACACACACGAAATCAAAGATTTAACACAGATGTGACAACTTTCATTTAAAACTGGTGCTTGAAGTTTGATTACCCTCCATTCAGACCACTCAAACATTAGTGTAGTTTTGTTTATGTTTTATTTTTGTGGCTCTTGCCTACCTGTGATTGAGACACTCTTTTCAAAACCCAAACAATATGAGAAGATGTGTTTTTTTTCTTCATATGAAGGGTGAAAAGAGAACTAAGCTTTTTATACCTATACATGCAGACTATATATATATATACACACATATATATATATATGGAGAGGAGGAACATAAAACAAGGAAGATAGCCCAGAAAGGGGATCGGCTTTAGCATCTCCAAAGCCATCTGAAGTGTTTGTGCCTTTTAAAAACATAGTTTGGATTGACTTTGGGCAGCTGGTTTTTTCTGATGTTTTGAGGAACAATGCCTTAAAGAAAAGCAAAGAACTCTGCAGCAGTTCCTCTGGCAGGGTAGGCCAAGAACTGCAATCAGCAAGAAAGGCTCTAGGGTTTCTGCTAGCACGAGTGCTTAAAGCAAGGAATGGCCAGAGTTTCTCCAAAACTGTCTACAAGTTTGGGTTTTGGTTTGGTTTGGTTTTGTTGCTGTTTAAAATAAAAATTATGGTAGTTGCCAGCAATGTGGCAAATTCTGTTGGGTTTCTAAAATTCAACAATTAAAAAACTAACTTCCAGCATCTCCTATACATTATGTATAACCATTTAAACTATCAATTTGGTTGTAAGCGCATGCTTCAGAAAGAAATGCAGTTTTTTTTAAAAAAATTGGAATGCTTTTTATTAAAAGCAACTAGCATGAGATATTGCTTAATATTTTAGGTATTATATATATATATATGTATAATGTATATTCCAAATGTATTCCAAGCTTAGAAACAAGACTCTTACAAATTATTGATAAAATATTTATAATGCATTTATACACAATATATAAATAAATGCAGATTACAATGGTAGCCATTGGAAGTTCCCTTGCAAAAGATTTATTTGTGAAATGGAATGTAAGGGTTTTTAGAAAAGGAATCTAGTTTGAAACTTGACCATTTTCAAACTGTAGTTTGGAATGTTTTCAGAATGCCAACATTTTAGCCACTGGGCAACTACCCTAAACAATTCTATTTTAATTTAAGGTTTTTCACTTTGATCCTCTCCTTAAAAAATGAGTTTTCTAGCAAATATGTACTTGCTGCTGTTTTACTTCATTTTGGTTTTCATAAAAGCCCTGGAACAGCCTTATTTGCATGAATTTTCATTTCTAGTTCCCATTTGACAACTGTGTTTCCAAATAGTAACTGTTATCTGGACCTGTGTCATTTTTTCCTGCACGCTGAAGTTTGTGTTTGAACTTCTGTACAGTCAGCAGTTTCATGGTCATGTCAGATGGGTTGCAGATTGTGAGGCTTTGTTTTCCAAAAGCCTTTTCACAAAAGAAAGGATTCCAAGGTCTTTTTTATATCAGGAAACTGATTGTGTATTTTCTCTGTTCTTCAGTCATAGTTGCTATGCTACATAAAAATAAGGAGCTTTCTTTCCTTAAAAGCATACTAGTATTAGAAAGAATGATGTAACATATATCCTCAGTATAGAGTGTGGCAAGGATTATTAAAGGCATTAATAACTTAAATGACCATATTGAGGGTCTGCCAAACTTTGTTGGTGCAGTTACACTAACACACACAGAACATTTCCTGAACCACTCTGATTGAGTAAGTCCTTGAAAAGACTATTTCACAGTGAAGAATTATAATCATATTAATAATTTAATTCTTGTTGGCTGGGAGAGTGCTAATCCTTGCCATCATTTCCTTTCCTCCATTGCCTTTTGAGGTGAGGGGAGTTGACCCTCAGAGGAAGTAACTAAACTTTTAGTAGTGATATAAGGTGGCTGGAGTTCATGTGTTCTTTTTCAAGCAGTGTAGGGTCTGCCATGTCCCTCGTCTGCAGCACCAGTTGTATTTTAGAGGTTTTCCTTGTTTAAATTTTTGTCATGATAACTGACAGGGTCACAATGTAATACCTTGTTTCTGGTTCTGATTTTTTTCTTCATTCCATAAAGAGTGGAGTTTAGAGAATTTAAACATGATTTTGAGTGAGTGCAGGAGAGTGTTTTAATCCCTTTATTTAATGTTTGATATGCAATTTCTAAGACAGACACTACAACATTTGAGTTCTTGCTAACCCAAATACATTCAAATTGATGAATACTTTTTGGCATTAGAACTGCTAGGAACATACTCTAAGAGTAAAATTTGACAGGCAAGATAAAATGTATATTTTATAAAATGACTACCTTGCTGCTGTGATCTAAAAAGATTTTTTGCTGTGGAATCACCTGATTTCATATTTTGTTAAATTACCCTTATTATTGCTGTTGGGGAAAGTGATGCATTTGTAATCACTTAAATCTAAAATACATTTTATTTTCAACACTTCTTTACATGTTGTCAAAATATGAACTTTTTCATTGCAAGAATTGTTGATAACACAACTCAACAACGTTGACAAGATGGCCTGAACTTACTTGCTTTCAATGTTGTTACTTCTAAGATGATTCATTTGTTTCTTACAAAGAAGTTGCTACATCATTGTCAGTGCAAATCTTTCAAGAGTGACAAACATCTTTGTTATACAGTAGTCTGTCCCACAGTGTAAAGCTCTTGGATCTGTTTACAATGGCAGTGACACAATCTCACTCTGGGTTTTCTCTGCAGTTAGTGCAGCAGAATGAGAATATTGTATAACACCAGTTGGGGAGGTACCACTGTAGCCTTGATTTTTTTTTTTATTTTTTTATTTTTTTGGGTGGGGGGAGATGTTTACTTAACCAGGACCTGATGTGGAAAGGCTTATGAGGTCTGAGATTGAACTAAGAGTTGGCGCAGATTTTGGCCACGTGCTTGCAATTCCCACATTTTTATATACTACCAATATGAGGTACCTGAATTCCACCAGCAAGATACTAGAGGTTGTTTTTACTAATCCAGCTTCCAAGATATTGGGGTAGCTTACTGCAACTTTTCTCTTGTAGCAATTTAGAAACGAAGGAGCATCTTAAATCGGCATCACCAGGATGTGTCTCCCAGGTTGTAGTACACAGTACTAACAGTTGAATATTTGGGATTTATTTTACTTTCAGTACACAAACATTCCTTTTTATCAGTCACGCACTCATTCCATTCTTCCTTTTGTAAACTTTTGGGCCCACATTTTATGGGCATTGAAATATATAAATATATATATAGATATAGATATAGATAAAATATATATGAATATATTTTTTTAAGTTTCCTACACCTTGAGGTTGCATGGTCTGTTAGGTTGGCATGTCTTTATATTGTATACAGATTTTGCACGCCACACTTGGCAGCTTTGGGTGGTGGGGGGCATCCCCTTTAATGGCATTAGCAAGAGATAAAAGGTTTGGATGTTTTTCGTCATGCAAATTAAAAATTAGGAGCATGGAGGGGAAAAGAGTTTGTCTTACTGAACTTATTAAGGACCTGTGCTTTTTATTGTAAAGTAATTAAAAATACAAAGGACTTAAACATGTCATTTTAAGAAAAAAAATATCTAGCACTTGTGACAAACCAATAATAGAGTTTATTGTATTTATGTCAAAATAATGGTCTAGGGGAAACTACACAGAACACACAGACTGCCTGTGTCATTTTGTAAGGGGAAAGGGGCGGTGCTTTCCTTTAGGCAGGGAAGGGGTAAGGCAGGCACAAAACTATGCCAACTTCTTTTTGTATTAATTCTCAGATGAAAATGACAACTTTAAGAGTTAACTCTTCAGCACAGCTGTGTTAACATTTTTTTAATTACTTGGAATGATGTCTCAATAGATTTCACTTTTAAGCAGTGATGTACTGTGCAAACACTGTGGTTTCAAACACAACTTTATATCAGCAGGAAATGAAGTGTCTTCATAGTGATAGTTGAGCTTGGTTTCCTCCCAGCTTCACCTTGTATTTGATATTGATTAAAAAGATTCCTAATGAAAGAATGAAAAACAAAGAATTTTAACACTTCTGGTGCTCTACGTTGGAGGCGCTATATATATGGGATGAAAAACTGTTCACCCAAGAGCTTATTACAAATATGTAGTACCAAAAGTTGTAACTCTTATATTCTGCTTTATGCCTATACATGCTCAGTATGTTGTCACCATTGGTAGCAGCTACCAGTTTATTCTGTAACTTAGACACAATTTCACTCTTTAGTGTATGAACCCTTTAAGTGATGGTAGCATATTCTTTGTACTTAAATTTTCTTATGACCTTTTTCCTTTACTTGGTGGAGTTAAAAGTTTTGGGTTATTTTTCCTAGCGCGCTCTCATTCCTGTTTTTGTTATTTTGTTTTACTTGTTTTTTACTGGCCAATGGTGTCTTTCTCTGACAATACCAACTTCAATTTCAACTTTAATAGAAGTCCAGTATTTTGTACCACATTATGACAACTTGTTATTCTTGTGGTGTAAATAAAAAGATAAAGTGAATTATAGTACCATCTCTGTTGCTGTTACTGATCTCTTTGTATGTGTTGTCTTCATTCATTGACAACTTCTTGCATTCCTACGCAGGAGTATAGCTTGAAGAATTGCCATCTTCTAGTTATGTTTCAGGGAAGTGGCATGATACCATCACAGTTCTGGAGCAGAAACACTTCTGCAGATACATCTCTGTAAAGATACAGTCATGTCCCTAAGGCCTAGTTCTTAATGAGTTTCATGTCACAACTCAGATGACTGAATGATCCTCCATGCAAAAGAATAAAATACATTTTCCACCTAAAATTGAGATGTCAGATAAGAGTTTTACTGTATTTTGGGGGGATTTGCTATTTTTTGTGTATTGGGGTTTGCTTCTTTGGTATGGAATAGCATGGTATGGAATAGCATTCTGTCAACCATACCTCCTCCTCTAGTCTGAAATGGGATAGCCCAAGACAAGTAGACTGCCTTAATAATGACTGATTTTCAATCATAAGATTGAACCTAGAGCTAATTATTTTTCTTATGGTCCTTCAGGCTATGAAAATATCCCTGTAAGCCTGGTGATACTTCAGTCCCAATATATTTAATAACAAATTGTAAGAGATGAAATCATACATCTCCTAGCTGTTAGCCAACTGTCTTGTATATTGATGTTCTATGCGTATTTGTCTTGTCCAAGAGACTGGCATGATGGATTGCACACACAACCCTGCTTTTCACATTTCTCCCATCTCACGTGTCAAGCCACTATTAACCCTTAAAGGAGTCAAGAACTGAGGTAGCCACTTTCTCTTGCATCAGACCTTTCATGCCTCTAGCACAGTATGGTTGACATGGGCTAGCAGCAGCCCTCCAAGATGCCAAGCAGCGTCCTTTTCTAGACCTACCTATTGAGGCAACTGAACCTGAGGCCAACTGCTGGAAGAGGAGGCGCTCTGCTACTGAGCTACAGCCGTCTCAATAGAAACTGCATCCCAGTCACACTTTGCAACATCCACGGTGGCCTTTTTGTTGAAAGGGGGTAGGGCATTCCATTGGGTATGCCTAGAATTGGGTTCTGGCCAACACTATAAAAGCTGCATATGATGATGACTTTTTAACATGTACGTGGCATCCATACAATCCTCATGATGATGATGTTGTGAACTGAGGCTGTTTAACAATACAGGTCTAAGGCTTGTGAAAGCAGCAAACAATTGCTTAAAATGTATAGCACCAGTGATACCCATATTCTAAACCAGCCTTCCCCAGCCTGGTTTTTGGGCTACAACTCCCTGCAGTCCCGGCTCTCCCGGCTAGAGCTGCTGGGGACATCTGGAATGTACAAAATTGAGGAAGGCTGCGGTAAGTGTAAAGGTCTGCACACAATTTCGATGAGTTCCCTAAGGTATTCACAGGGGTTTCCTCATTTTCTTGGATGAGCTGTGGAATGCTTCCCTATGCACTTATTTAACAGTTCCCTGTAAAAGGAAATGGGCAGTCATGGCTTGCATCTGGGTCTTGGTGATATTCCTAGCTTCTACATCACTGTGTCTTGTTAAAAGTGATGAAAAAGTAACAAGTTGTAGAGAGCCGTGCAAATATGTGAACCTTGGATATCACTGGGCCAACCAAAATAGTATTTCTAACCCAAACCACAAATTGAATTTCCTCAAGAACTTGCACATTCATATTGATATTTGTATTGTTTTATTCAGATTTCAACCTTGGGATCAAGTCAGTTGGACTGAAATGTTTGTTCAAAGATTTGTCAAGAGATTTTTTTTCATGAATTTTGTTGTGCTTTGAAATGAAAAGTGCTGCTACTCTTTGTTACTTTAAACAGAATTCCCCATTGCAAATTGGCAACAGCCCATAATATTTGAGGAGACGGTCTGTGTGTAATAGAGAATTTTGGGAGGGAGATTAAAAATGTAAGGTGTGTCCCAGTCAATGTATGGTCATCCACCATCACGATGGATGCTCCGCTGAAAACTCCACTGCAAGGAAAGAGAGATGTGGAGAGTGGGCCAGTCCCTCGCTCGTGGCAGGCAAGGCCATGAGAGTCATCGCTGCCAGGCTCTGAAGTGGAGGAGGCAGAGGGCCGGGCGCAAACAGAGGCTGAGCCCTTTGAAGCTCCTTCAAAGTTGCCTAGTGAAGTTTTGTGAGCAGAGCATGTGAGCCGATCTGTTTTGAAAGAGATGGAAGGGCTTTTAGGAGGGAAGGGGGCAAACGCGGGCCCAGTCCTTGACCCATCGGGGAGGCACTGGGAGAGGCTCAGCTGGAGAGGCTCTGTCCCTCCTGCTGCCTAGCTCCCCGAGGGTGCCAGCTCCCCCGAGGGCGGTGCCAGCAGCCTGGCTGAAAGGGAGGGACAGGGGAGAGCTTTCCAGTTAGGGTTCAGCTCATTGATTGCATGGCCAGGGGCTTCTCCTTCCAACTTTGGTATAAGGCTGTGTAAACTGTTCGGTCGGCTGTAGGGTTTCAGTAAAAGAACAGCATTTCAAAGGATTGTCTTGAGTTGTGGAACGCAAGGGCATGGACCAGCTCATGACATGAGACACATCAGCTGTCTGGAATGAGGAGTACCTTGTCACCCCTCAACTGGCTTCCAGATAGCATCTTGTTGAATTTGCAGCATGGTGTTCTCTGGGATTCATTGAGAACTGTGATGCTTTTTCTTGATAATGTTAGCATGGGATGGAACGATGAAGGGTGGCCTTTACATTGCGATATCTGCTGATGCTTTCCCCAAAATATAATCATGCTGTTTCAGAGTTACAGTGAGTAAGTTCCACCCAGAAGCCAAATCCTTTCACATGTTTTCCAATGGGCTAGATGAAAGACAATTCTTCTGTTTGCATGCTGGTTACCTGAAAGTCCAGCCTGTTTCTGATCAGGCCTATTCAGCTGTGGTTTCAGTGGAAAAACCAAGTATGTGCTTCATCACATTTGTTTTATCAAAGCGTCAATATAAATCAAGCAATTACATGTTGTTTCCCTTAAAATTATATTCCTTGGAATACCTTTACTGGAGGATGTAAAATGGGTCACAAAAATGAAAAAGACTGCTCATTGCTTACTAGCAGCCTCATTAACTTGTGCTGTGTCACTTGGCTGGGCAGTGTTGGACTTTATACCATGACATGATCCCCTGCCAAATGGAGTTGCTTAATTTCCGTTTTGATTTTTCAAAGAGGGATGGGAATGTGAGTGACCCCATTTAGAGAAGGAATAAAAGGACTTGCCTGTCTCTGTGCCTCATTTGTGGGAGGAACTGCCTTCCCCCTGGAAGTGCCATCTGAGCCTTCTCCAGAGGTGTGGCCCACCGACTACTACTGCAGGGTGAAGAACAAGGCAGCGTGATGGGGAAAGAGCTCCTATCAGAGAAACAGAAAGTGAACGAGTCAGAAGGGGCCTCCCGGGCCACTTAGTCTGACCCCCGGCTCCAGCCGGCTCCGCTCGCGACATGCCCACCATGTGCATGTCTAGCCTATCCTTTCACACCCTCACCAATGGGGCTTCAACCACCTCCCATGGCAGCCCATTCCACACCCTCGGGATCCTGACTGTCAGGAAGTGCTTCCCGGCGTCCAAATTGAACCTTGGTTCCTGAGCTTTGCTCCATTGGAGCACATCTTGCCCTCCTCTGCAGGGGAGAACAGGTCTCTATCCACCTCCATGTGACATCCCCTCACATACCTGTATGTCGCCAAGAGATCCCCTCTGAGTCTGCTCTTCTCCAGGCTGAAAAGACCCCGTTCCCTCAGTCTCACCTCATACGGCTTCCCCTGCAAACCGGCCACCAACCTTGTGGCCCTGCGCTGCACTGCCTCTAACCTGGCTATATTCTTTCTGTAATGAGGGACCCAGAACGGAACAAAATACTCCAGTTGCAGGCACACCAGAGTCGTATATAATGATAGTAATACCTCTCCCGGTCTAGAAGCCATGCTTCTGGGTATGCAACCAAGGGTGGCATTCGCCCTCTTGACCAGCACATCACACTGCTGACTCATGTTTAGCCTGCAGTCAATCAGTACCCCAAGATCCCTTTCACAAGAGCTTCTCTCCAGCCACTTGTCCCCTAACCTGTACCATCAAAGAGGGCAAGGCTGCTGTTTGTCTTACATGGGTTTTTGGTGAATAGTCTGCCTCACCATAACTACCTTTATCTGTCTTGTGTGAGAGCCAGATATGGACAAAGACTAGAAGGATCTGTCTGAAGAAGGACCTGCCCCTCTTTTAACTGAACTGGCAGTCCCTCTCTCAAACTCTTTTATTGGCTCTTTCATTGAGAGTTGGACTATTCTATGTGTCTATAGGTTCCCTGATCAGAGGGGGTGGTCATCCTCCAGTTCAATTGCAGTGTGTAAGTCCTGATGGTGTTGACTGGCTTCTTGAACTGGTGAGAAAAACCACCTGCCCGTCTGTGCCCATCTTGGCTGGTGGTGCTGGGGCTGGGAGTATTGAGGGACCTATTAAGTCTTATCATCTATGCCTCCTTCAGAGGGGGTCAGGTTTGTGCCTGTCAGAGTATGGCCCCCTCCTTAACAAACTTAATTTGAACCCCCTGAACCTTAAAAACGTTAGATCAGTCTCAAATATGCCATTTCTTTGTAAAGTTTCTTCTTGTAAAGAAGGCAGTGTTTCTCTAGTTCCACGTGGTCCTAAATGATACTGAGTTTCTTGACCCATTTCAAACTGGCATCAGAGTGGGATACAGACTCGAGACTGCTTCGGTCACTCTAATGGATGATTAGAGGGGGAGTGTGCCATTGGTTCAGTTGAATCCGTGGCCTTTGATGCTGTCGACTGTAGTAGCCTTCTGAGGGAGTTGGGATTGGGGGCACTGTCTTGCAGTGGTTCCATTCCTAGCTCTTGGTTCAATTTTAGATGTTGATGCTTGGTGACAGCCGCCCCTGCAAAGAGGAGCTGACTTGTGGACTCCTGCAGGGCTCCACTTTGTCTCCCATGTGCTTTAACATCTATATGAAGCCACTGGGACAGATCATCCAGAGGGATGGTGCTGGATGACAC